AATTTCGATTGGCTCAGCTGTTTCTGGGTTCTTTTGCCCAGAGGCAGAGGACCAACCCACAAATTTTTTTTTTATGAGCTTGGCAGTTGCCATGTTTGTCTGCTGATTTTTTTTTTTTTTTTTTTTTTTTTTTTTTTTTTAAAGCTGACTTTTCTGCCTTACATATTTTTTAACTGGCGTTCTGCCATGTTATGGAACATATCTTACTTTCACTACCTACCTACCACTACTCCTAAGGCTATACAGGGGACCCCTGCAAGCATAGCTTTTTCTACCTCTCTTCGGTGAAGGGACGTTACCCCTGTATGTCCAATTTTTTTTTTTTGATAACATGTGCAGGGGCCATGCTAATCTACTCTGTATCATCCCAATTTTAACAGACGCCCCGAAGGACCGTATGGCCATTGTTAAATGATTGTTTGTCAATGTTGCCATTCAAAACATAGTTGTGGTGCACTTGCGCAGTGTGTAGTGTGCTCAGTCTGTGTTTTGGCGGGTCATTACAAAAAGTAGAAAGGGGAAGAATTAAAAAAAAACTGTCCAGGAAAATAAAATAAAATCCAGGAATATTAATTTCTGAAATTCTGAATCTTTTCTGATTCTGTAGATTCAGCTGGTAAGATTTGTTAGAGGTTTGAGATAAATTGTTTTCAGCAAAAAGTTGCTTGAGATAAAATTTTCGGAATTTTTAGGCATTCTTAATTTTTTTGAATTTTTAAAGATTTTCAGTTTTTCATTTCAGGATTTTCGGGTGCTTGTTGCACCATGTGAGGAGACACACCAGCGTGGAGTGGGTTGTGCACTGCACGTTCACACACTCAATGCATGTACTGCGATGTAAGTCTGATTCAAATGCTAGCTTTCTATGCATACTTAGGGTTCCACTATTCCGGCACTAGGAGTTTTTTCGACCGAATCTATCTGCAGTTCAGGTTACATACGTCTTAGAGATTCTTAAGTGTGAATATGCCCTTGGTTGAATGGTTGATATCTTCACTTGTGCAGTGCTATCTCCAAATTTGCTGGTCGTTTTGTCCCTGCTCTAGGGGGTCGCCTCCTGTCCTCTCATGGTGAGAAGATGAGGAGCAGTTCTGGCAGTATGATGTTTCATGCATTTCTTTGTCTCACTTGCCACTGCATCTTCATGCTATTATTGTCATTGCTGGCTAGTGTTCATCTCTCACACTGTGGAGTATGCTATGTCCTCGCATCTTCTCCTCAGGTTTCTCTCTCCCTCAATCCGTCATATTGATCGAGGCTGTTATGTCCACCATGAGAGGGAGAAGGTCTGTAGTACGGAGTGATCCGTGCAGTCTCAATGTGGTTGTACGGTGATAAGTAGTCCTCCGACTGCATTGATTTTTTCAAGTCTATTCTCAAGTCTGTTATGTCCACACGTTCTCTTTTCCTTTCCTTTTGGCTGAAGTCTCTCCATGGTCTCCTCTCTAACCCAGACAGACAATGTCCTATGCCTCCTACCCAGGTAGGCATAGCCTGTCTTCCGTCGCCTCCTACCGCGATACACATAGTTTGGCCTGCCCAATGGGCAAGAACCAGTGGCACTATTTGTTTGCTTGGGAAACACGGATCCGGTAACGTAGAAAAAAAGCACAGACATGGCAGCAGTGGGCCCTGACCGTAGGTCTAGGCACTTCTGCCTGTTCAGCTATTGCATTAGGCCTCACGAAGGTGTGGGACCTATCAAGGAACACTGGTCGCCCTTGGGTCCTTCTGCCAATTTGAAGCTTCTTCATTGCGAGACACTGTTGGTGAGCACTGCATGCACTCCGAGGCTTGTGGTTGACTCATTCTCCTTGAAGGGGCATCATGGCATGTCATACGAAAAGCTCATCCTTCTGATGTTATGACCCTTCGCACAGTTGCCATTCCCAATGGAATATTATGATGCTGGAATTAGCATAATGTATCCAGTCCACTGCAAAACCTTTTCGCAGCCTGCGGCCGATGCTGACAGCCGACTGTTCTGCAGTCCAGAGCAAGGTAGTTTTGCAGCCTACGGCCAACGCCGACAGCTGACTGTTTCCAAGCGTCTACCGGTAGGGCGGACAGATAGGCGGTCTGCCGACTGGTCACAAGAGGGCCATCCACTGAGGGGCGCCCACCATCAGCCGAGCAACACTCGGGTGGAGCGGTCGGCCGGTAGGCCGCCGGGCGATCGAGGGGTGCCTACTGTCGCCATGACGGCTATCCTCCTGGGTAACGTGGGAAAGGCTTATGGACAGCTTCGCCACTGTCAAGAGAAGCTGTGGCACTCGGATATGCGCATAGTGCACGGCAAGTGATGGTGATGATATTGATCATGACTGAAAGCAGCACAAAGGTTTGCTCACCAGGAAGAAATGACTTACAAAGTTGAATGATTGCCATTGTCAGAGCGCAGTCAGAGAATGTTATGATTTCATTTGTCAAGGTTGGGGTTGTGTAGTGGTGGACATAAATTGTGCATCATGAACGGAACCCAGTGCAAGGAATATGAGTGAGAACGATAAACAGAAAGCCAAGTTGTGAAATCACACAGCTGTCCAAGTAGTCATGTACCAATCAGAGAGCATAAATGCGCCAAGATTCCATCCACATAAGAGCATTACAATGAACTCATGAGCCAATGTTCAAGTCCTCAGGCCACACCAATGCAGTATCCAATGTCGCTCCTACTGTATGGCGCCCAGCGCCCTTCCGACTCCTACCTAGCCTATCCTACTACAGCCGCATTCACGCAACAGGCTCGCTTATACTTTGAAGACCAATGTTCATGACGTCAACACCATAGCCGACCTCGCTCGTGCACCAGGTACGTATCTCGTCTCCCCTCATCACCCCCTGACCACCCACACTTTCCTCGTTCCTGAAGACCATCGATCGCCCTCTTACCCTCTTACCCCTTTGCGCCGTGTGCAGCCTAGCAATGGCTGCTAACGCAGCAGCATGACCGCATTGCCTGCGTGGGCCAGAATGCCTCTCGCTGGCTGCCTTACTTCCTACATGGAAGTGGCAGCCTCTGCTTGGCTGCGTGTGGGCCTGGGTGAGAAGCTTCCAGTAGCTTCCGGTTGGGCCCCAGTGCCTGCGCCCACGCCCAGCGCTGTAGTTGAGGCCTGGGCCCTTTACAGTTGGGCACGCCCCGTACTTCCAGACTTCGGCAATTTGCTGCATTTGCACAGGCTCCAGGGTAGGTGTGTCGACAATGCTGCTTTCTCGTAGGCCCGTGGCTACTTTTTGATGTATCTGACTGGTAATGTGTGCGCAGGTGCAACTGTACGGCGCAGGACATGTTTCCTGGAAAGAGCTGAGAGGCTCTCATTTCCTTGTAACCAACTGGCGTGCTGCAACTGCCTGAGTACCCACATATGAAAAAATGTCAAATTTTGGCCTCTTGTGAATAATCAGGCCTGCCTTCACTTAAGGCGGGCACAGGGCTTGCTGAGGGCCTCTGCCCAGAACATGTGCATGTCTGATAAGGGCCCCACGAGGGCTCATTCCTCGCACGAGCAGGAATAAAGGAAATAATTCTGAAAAGGCAAGGATTGCAAGGTCAGCGTTTAGATTGGTGGCAGGGTGCAACAGTGGTGTCAGAATCTTATGATTTCAAATTTGGTAGAATGTGCCTGCGACTATTTGGAAAATGAAGGAGGTGGTAGTGGGCCTTGGGATTCCGTCGACAGTTTTGGCCCCTGCAGTGAATGTGAGCATAAAGCATCTAATCAATCCCAAGGGCGCCGATGGAGGCTACCTCGTATTCGAATTGTGTGTGAACTGTCTCCTGA